TATTCCTCATAAATCACAGTTTCAAATAAAATAAAAAGAGAGAACAATTTCTTTTAAAGATTGTTTTAATTTTTAAAGATGAAAGAAGAGTTTGACAATATTAACGAAAGATTAAATGCTAGTTCCATAAGTTTAGATACTTATGGTAATATAAGAAAAGATGAAATAGATTTATTTGAAAAAGATAGAGAAGATCTTTTACAAAATCTAGAATACCTTATATATGGAATTACACTCAAGAAAAATTATTATAAAAGGTATTCTACAAGAGATAATTACTATGGAGATTGTTTTCCAGAAATAGAAGGACAAGTTAATTATCTGAAAAGTATAAAGAAAAAATTGAAAAAACTAAGATTTAATATCTAGGAATCACCACAAAATTGGTTATAAACCTAAACTGAAAACGAAAGTGAAATTAGAAAAATAAGTGAAAATGATGAGTGAAAACGAAAGTGAAAATGGTATCAGAGCCTGGTATCAGGCGAAAGTACTAAAATATTAGATTAATGGATAGAGAAGATAATCTTTTAGATTACTACACAAAGCACGAAAAATCAGGCTATTTAATTGAAGCCCTGATAGATGCTAATAAATTAGGAATAACAGATCATGACTTAAAAAAGAACCATAACTTCAGAAATGAAGGATTGATAAAGAAATTAAATAACTTAATTTCTAGGAAAAATGAAATATTCTTTGGAATCATTTCTGGAGAAGAAGCAATAGATACAGATCAAACAGAAGGAAATGTAGTTATTCCTGTTATCTGTAAAGAACAAATTCTTTCTACATTGAAAGATATAAAAACAGAAACTAGGAATAAAATCTCTTACTTACATGTTTCTACTATACAAATGATTCTTAAATCAACTTATAGTTAGGAATAGATTCTCCCATTACAATAAAATTAATTGATAATAGAATGATTAATTATTCTGATGCTCTAATAGCAGAAGGGAGTGAAAATTTAAAATTTGGTAAAATTAAGTTTAACTTAAACTACCAAGTTGGGATGTCCTTATTAGACAATAATTTAGATGATTCCATCACTTTGTGTTGGAACATGAAAAGAAAAATAATGAAAACTGGAAATCATCCATTTTCAGTAACATGGAGGATAAACTATGCATTGACTAACAGTCATCACAGTTTGTCATTCAAGCCTCATGATAAAATTGAAATAGATGAATTGTTTTCACCTATATTACAACTAGAAGCACCTAGAAGGTCCTTTCAAGTACATAGAACTTCATCTTTTGTTAGACCTAAAATAGAATATGTTATTCCTAAACAGAATAATGAAGAAAACGAAGCAAGTTCTTCGAAAACAGAAACTTATACTGAAGTAATCATAAAACCAAATAACAATATATATAAAATTGAACAAAAGGTTCAAGAGATAAGTAAAGAATTAGGACTAAAAATATGACAAGTTCTAATAAAAGTTTTAGAAATTGTAGCTAAAATATTAATAAGGGTAGAATTGTATTTTTCACCCCTAAAATGGCTATATTTCATCTTTTTAAAAAAGATGGTTGTATTTCATTGTTTACTTCAAAAAAGTGCTAAAAACCGGCGGCTCTCTAATATATAACTTATTATAATATAGATTTAAGCAAAATTTATTCAACCGTTTTATAAAAATGTTGTTTGATCATGAGTGAAATTTTGGCTTATCCACAAATGTGGAATTGAAGCTTATCTACAAATTATTGTTTTTTAGGATAGAATTGTGGCGTTAATATTTACCCTTTTATTGTTAATATCTGCATTTATTATTATATAACACAAATTAATTAATATAAATATTATAATCAAACAAATATTTATTAATATAAACTATTAAATGTACTTTCTTCAATTAATATTAATTTCAAAAAATAGGATTCCCATTAATTAATTAATGTTTTTTTCTTTTCAAATAAGATTTCCATTAATTAAAAACGTGCATTGTCTCTTTAATGTGACTTATGCACATATTCTAAATATATCTCTAATTAATTAATTTGTATTATCTCTTTAATGTGACTTATCCACTTATTCTAATTATATCTCTAATTAATTAATTTACATTATCTCTTTAATGTGACTTATCCACTTATTCTAATTATATCTCTAATTAATTAATTTACATTATCTCTTTAATGTGACTTATCCACTTATTTTAATTATCTCTCTAATTAATTAATTTGCATTATCTCTTTAATGTGACTTATCCACATGTGATTTTAATCATCTTACTTTAGTTAGAAAGTCAACATTTTATTTTTTAGTCAAACTTACGATAAATGTATTTTTCCAACAACTTTTTTATATAGACTAGTACGTACCCCGTGCGATGCACGGGACAAAGATATTAAATGAGTTATTTTCACAGTCTTGTCCGTTTAAGTCTAAAAAGTAATTGTTATTATCTATTTTTTTATCTCTTTTAATCAACGTTAAGTTTAAAAAATTATTAAGTCGCCCTCTAGCAAATATGTATGAAGTTATGTGTTCATGTCTCATAAGTCACAAACATTATGAATAACATTACAAATTATTCATTCAAACTTTTATTCATTCAATATATTTATAAATAAAAAGTACATAAAATTTCTGGTGTGTTCAAATTTAAATAATTTTTTACGGGCTCAATTTTAAATCATCCAGACATTTGGTCAAACGCATAGGTGTGTTCAAATTTAAATCATTGACATTTTGGTCGGTTGAAATTTAAATCATCTACTATGGTACTCTGATGTGTATTATATATATATAATTTTTTTAACAAATAATATGTGCTTTATAAAAATAATAATAATAATTTCATAATATTTTAAACATAAATTTTGGTTTTTAATCACAATAGAAAAATCATAGTAAGTTGTATTGAAAAGGTGTTATGAGATAAAACAATTAACTAAAATAATTAAATAAAATACTTGATGGAAATAGAATGCATATATTATCTTTGACTTTTCTAACTAATTCTAGTAAATAGAATGTCTTTTTATATAAGTATAGATGTGCAAGTAAGATTTTTTACACTATTTTGTAAAGAAAACATGTCTAAAAATAATTAACTTAACATGTGTTAAGTATATGTGAGTATATATATATGTACATATAGATAGAATATGCAAAAAAATATGTCTGAAAATTTTGTTTAAGTATCTAAAATATTATAAAACTTAAATAAAGACATTATCTCACGCTAAAGTTGTTTTAGAGAAGATTTATAAGATACCATAACTATGATGTTACTTCCATATGAAGATTTGACTACACAATATTTCTAAAATTACTACCATTTTTTTAAGTTATTACCATAAAAAGGAATTTGTACGCTTAACAATTTATCAATTTTACAAATACAAATTGAAATTAATGCAAAAGCTATCAATTTTACAAATACAAATCGAGATTATTGCACACCAAAAATTATGTGACAAATAAAAAGAAATTTTATATGTAATTGAGATCAAAGACGAACACTGAAGACTGTTTCTATTAACATTTACAATGTGTATTTAATGTTTTTTTGGGCAAAATATTCTTTCTAAGTGTGATATATAAATATCAAAAATACTTAAAATATTTTATAACATCTATAAAAGCATCTAAAATATTCTATATTTTTCACAAATAATGTTTGAAGCTACCTAAATTTTTCTAAACTACCCGTAAGAAAAACATGTATAAAAGTTCTTCATTTAACCTCCATATATGTATATATATAGAGAGAGAGCAAATGTGTAAAAAAATTTATGCAAATAATATTTAAAAATATCAAAAATTTTAGTAATTAGACAGGTGAAATTTAGATTTTTAAAAAATCTAAATAGATAATGGATTTTAATTATAGTAATTGGACTTTTATTTATTTATCTTTAAAGTTGTTACGATAGATGATTTTTTTTGATTTTTTTGACTCGTTGACATGAAATTTTGTAAGCTGGGTTATGAAATTTTCATTAATTAAGTTTGACTTTTCTAACTACTATATTTAGTAAATAGGATCTCTTTTAATATAAGTATAGATAATGTTAGTGATTTTTTTAATTTACATAAAAATATAATATTAATAAAATGATGATAATTTAAAATAAACTATTAAATATAAATGAATTGAAATTTCTAAATTAAAATCAAATCAAATCACATGAATAGTGCAAGTCAAATTAAATCAGAAGCGAATTTCTTGGTGGGTGTCCATCCAATCTTTAGCAAATTTAATTTTGAATTAAATATTTTAGGATTTAATTTTGATTTATTTAATATAGCAGATTTGGTTGTTAAGGAAGAATTATATTTTATATTTGACCTGATAGGAATGGAATGAATTACACGTTTTACATAAAAATTTGCATAACAAATCAAAACAAATTTGACTAAAAGTTTGGATAAAAATACATACAATAATATAACTTATTTATTTAATAATTTTCTATGTTAAAGCCGCAAATTTGAAAAGGATGTAGGTAAGTTTTTTGAAAGCCCTAGATTTTGGGGGATAATTATGAAATTTGTTACCAAAAATATCTCAAAGAATCCAAAAGAATTTTAAATCGTGAAAAGAAAAAATAAACTTTGACTTTTTTTTTTAAAATTGTGAAAAGAAAAAAATCCAAATTTTTAAAGATATTCTACAATTAGAAAGTCAAACGTTTCACTGTTTTTTTTAGCTTTACAAAAGTGATTTTTACATCAACCTTTTTATATAGATATATAGATATAGATATAGATATAGATATAGATATAGATATAGATGACGGACCCGACTCGGACACGATCCGACCCGATCAACCGGGCCAGTGACCCGGCACGAGTATAGGTCTGTGTTGGGTACAACCGTACAAGTCAGTGTTTTCGAGACCGACGGCTCGGCGGGCCAGGCCGGGCCGTGACCTGGCCCGGGTTTTGGCCATGTTAGGCGTTTGGGTCAGACCAGACCAGAAGGAGGGTTTTAACCGAATCGAAACCCTCGGAGAGAGAGTGGGAAAAGGAACTCGAAAATGGAGGGCGTTTCCTACCAGAGGTTCCCGAAGATCAGAATCCGTACAGTAAGGGACGACTTCATGAAGTTCGAGCTGCGCGACACTGACGCCAGTATCGCCAATGCACTCCGCCGCGTCATGATCTCCGAGGTCCCCACAATCGCCATCGATTTGGTTGAGATCGAGGTGAACTCCTCGGTCCTCAACGACGAGTTCATCGCCCACCGCCTGGGGCTGATTCCCCTCACCAGCGAGCGCGCAATGGCCATGCGCTTCTCGCGCGACTGTGACGCCTGCGACGGAGACGGCCAGTGCGAGTACTGCTCCGTCGAGTTCCATCTGCGCGCCAAGTGCATCAACGACCAGACGCTCGATGTTACCTCCAAGGACCTTTACAGTTCCGACCACACTGTTGTTCCAGTTGATTTCTCCGACTCGTCCGGGGTTGATAACGCAGAGAATAGGTAGTGTTGTTATGATGCCCGGTTTTCATTACTGTTTTACATGGGGAAGGGGAGGTTTCTTGTTGATATCTTCTTGTTTTGTTGGCCCTTAAGGTAGATAGGGATTTGAGCATAAATTGTCAGGACTCAGGAGCAACTATATGTTTCTAAAAGATCTTGTAAGGCTGAATGTACATAAATTCAGGTATTAGTTAGGTTCAACATTTGTTTATTAGGGAATTTGAGGAATGGTAGTTAAGTTTGGGCAGGGACTGGGTAAAAGGTCATATAAAAGGGTAGATAGATAGAGAAGTAAATGAGATTGCTTGTCTTTCTATGCCTGTCGTGACCGTCGTCTTGAATTTGCCAATGTTTCTTGCTGGCCCGTGTTTCAATAAATGAAATTGCTCTTCAATAGTTCTAGTGCATCAAAGTAGCAAACTTGATCTTGAGCTCTGTGTCTCTAGTGGACTACTTTCTCCCATAGTTCTTGGTGGGGCTTTGATTGATCAATATAAGAGAGTGAATGGGTAATAGTATGTTTGCACTGATAGGGACTTTCAGTGAAATTTTCTGAGCAACTGTTCTGATACTCAAAAGAGGATTTGATGAGATTATACAAATATAGAGAATTCTTTAAGGAAGTAAGGCTTCATCATCATGTATGCAAATTTACACTTACATTTTAGTAAGACTCATCACATTACTGCACTAACTAATTATGCATAATGATAAGTTCTTTCTTATGTCACTATATTATAATATGATTCATTTTGGCATGATACAGGGGTATCATCATTGTGAAGCTACGCCGTGGTCAGGAGCTGAACTTACGAGCCATAGCTCGGAAAGGAATTGGCAAAGATCATGCAAAATGGTCGCCTGCTGCGACTGTCACTTTCATGTACG